GCCTGAGGCCACGCGGCAGGAGCTACGGAGAGATCTGCAGATGGCTGCTACTTGTGTTGGGGTAGGGAGTGCCCAGGGGAGGCCCAGCTGTGAAGCAAGGCAGGGTGGTACTAATGTTGGGTCTTGGGCTTTTTACTGATAGGTTTGGGGCACGCTGATGCCAACTGTTTGAGAGATTTTAGAGAAGTCTGAAACTGAGAAAGGACAGGCCATTTGTGCTGTGCCAGCTCAGCCAAGGGTTTGGTGAGCCTGAGGATGAGCAGTGAAGGATTAAAGAAAAGACACAAAGAGAATATAGTTGGGGCTCACTGGATCTCCTGTGCCTGGATGAGGCCACAGAGAAGGATCCAGCAGGCAAGCTGAGGCTTTATTTTATAGTCAGAGGAAAACAAGGAAGTGGTCAACATAGTTACAATGTTCTTGTGAGTTTCACTTGTTTTGGCAGCACTTGTTGCACCTCCCACAGCCCGTTAGCTACTCAGGAAGGATTTAGGGGGCGCTATAAGGTCAAGCCTAATTATGCTAAGAGGGCTCTGCCCTCTAAGTTGGGACTCGTTTGTGGCTCTGCCACAGGTCAATCCAGGCTTTACTCTAGAGCCACTCCCTATAGCCATTCATATGAAAAAGCTGCTTGCAAACAGCTTGGGTGGGGCCAAAACTGGATGAGGCGGGATCTTAGGGAATCACCAGGGGGGCGTGAACAGTGTGAATCAAGCTGATAGATATTCAGATATTGCACCTGCCTGTCAACTCAACACAGGAACAATGACCCATGTGAGCACCCCAGTCTGGGAGAAAGCTGCCCCTGAGTTCTTGCTCCAATGCCAGACCATCCAGTTCCTCCAGGCATGTCCCTGGCTCCCCCTGAGCTGTTGTCCCAGTTTTGTAGCTCAGAGGGAGTGAAGCCATGTAAGTTCATGTGCTGGCCCTTTATGAGGAACACTTGGGTCTCCAGCAGCCTCTGTGTCACTCAGCCACAATCCCCACTGGTTTTTACAGACTGAAGTTATGGGGACTTCTCTTCCCAGCTCTGGAATTCTGGGCTGGGGGGCTGGTGTGGGGCTGGGACCCCTTGCTCCTCACAGGAGGCCTCCGCAGCTGAGATATCCCTCCTGATTTTTTTAAAAAAAGAAAGGCACATGTGGCTGTCAGACCAGCTCTTTCCACACCTCTGCCCCTCCTCCCAGTCTCAATGCGCTTTCTTCTTCACCTCTCTAGTTGTAGGACTTCCATTCAGCCAGCTTTCAGGTGGTTCTGAACGATGGCTGTTCTGTGTTTTTGTTGTAGTTTTGATGTGGTTGTGGGAGGCGGCGAGCGCCAGTGTTTACCTACGCCGCTATCTTGGTTCTCTCCAGTGCAGCCGTGTTAGTCTCACAAAAGCCGCCCTCTAATGAAGTGTATCTCATAACTTTCCTGCTCTCTCACAGAACCTTCAAAATAGTAGCCTGCAGTTTACCCCATCAACTTGGCATTTTCCTTAAGATGTCTCAGTGCGTGGATCTTTCAGGCATATTGTGCCTTGAGCGGGGAATTCTTTGTGGAGTCGTGTGTTCAACTTGTTGAAACGTCAAGGGGAGACACCAAAGGGATCTCTCACAACAAACACTGTTCCTCTACCGTCCCTACTTTTATTACAAACACCCAGACGCAGAAAAGCAAGACCAACGCAGACCTCCACCGGGGAGACCCTTTTGTGCGCCAGCGATGGACCATAACCACGGCAGGTCACAAGATAATTCTTATCACAATGTCTCAGAGTTTGAACATAATAAGGCTGCATTTTATTTTATTTTTTTAATATATTTTATTGATTTTTTACAGAGAGGAAGGGAGAGGGATAGTTAGAAACATCGATGAGAGAGAAACATCGATCAGCTGCCTCCTGCACACCCCCTACTGGGGATGTGCCAGCAACCACGGCACATGCCCTTGACCGGAATCGAACCCGGCTAGTAGTTCCTTGCTGCAGGTGGCATGGGCTCGCTCCAGAAACCCAGGGGGTGGTGATTTCTACAAGCAGTAGAAGGGTAGCCCAGCCGGCGTGGCTCAGTGGTTGAGCATCCACCTATGAACCAGGAGGTCACGGTTCCATTCCCAGTCAGGGTACATGCCTGGGTTGCGGGCTTGATCCCTGGCTGGGAGTAAGCAGGAGGCAGTCAATTGATGATCCCCTCTCATCATTAATGTTTCTATCTCTCTCTCCCTCTCCCTTCCTCTCTGGAATCAATAAAAAGATATTTTTTAAAAAGCAGTAGAAGGACAAAGGGCCTGGTTTTGGTACTGGGACATCCCGTTATCCCAGAGCCATTTGGTTGAAAGAGTTGCCTTTCCCACTGAATCGTGTTGCCACCTTGGCCATATACATGTGTTTCTACTTCTGCTGTCTCTATCCTTGCGCATTTACAGGCCAATAACACGCTCTCTTGATCCTTGTCATTTATAATAAGTCTTTAAATAAGGCACAAAGCCCTGCGACGTGGCCCTTCTTTTTAAATTTGTTTGGGACTTAGAATAGCCAGAGGCGCCTGGCGTGCCTGAGGCTGGTGTCCTGACCCACAGGCGGGAAGGGAGGGGCGTTCTGCAGACACAGAGCGCGTGTGGCCCCGTGATCCATCGTGAAGCAAAGGGCTTGCAGGTGTGCAACACACGTCCTTTCAGGGCTTCATCTTTTTGCCCAAAGGCCGGCAAGAGGAAGGCTCGGTGTTGCCCCCCCTCCCCCGCTCAAGCCCCCCTCCCGGATCCACAAGCCTTTTCTGTTCTCACTCCACGCACCCGATGAGGGGAAACCGGACGGAATGAAGAGAGAGAAAAGGGGGAAAGAGCAGATCCCAGGGTGCGAGACCAAGGGGCCGGAGAGACTCAGGGGAGGGAGAGAGGAGGCTGTCCCAGGGCCCCTTTGCGAAGGTGGGGACTCCCTGTGGCCTCGCAGCCGCGCTCCCCCCTCAGGACTCGCTTCTCCCGCTGAGGGTAGGCGTTCCTCAGCGATGGACTGGACCTCCTCTTCCCAACTTTCACAGCAAAGAGCAAAGAGCCATGTCCGACGGGAAGGAACGGCTGCTGCTGCTTTAGTCTCTGAAGCGGCATTAACACAATGTGAGTGAGGAAGGAAGCGTTCTCCCGGCTGCCGGGAGTCTGGCGGGAAACGCTCAGATCCTTCCCTGATCGCTCAGGGCTCAGGCCCGGCGCCCACCCTGGAAGGACGGGCCTCCAACCGCGCCAGCTCACGGGCTCTTCCCTGAGTCCCAGGGGGAGCGTGTCCCTCGCGCTTAGGAAAAGGCGCCGGAATTTGCTGATTGAGTGAGAATAACCAACATCACTCTCGTCCCTGACGGCTCCGTGAGTTGGAGATAATCGTGGCTGCAGGTGCCCAGGCGTTGCAGGGCGCCCAGCACGAGGCCAGGACGAGGCCTTTCAGCACGCACCAGCCACCCACCCACCCGGCCTCCGTGCACCGCCCTGCGCCAGCGGGGCCACTTGGTCGCCCCGTGTCCTGCGGACGCCTTCCCGAAACCACACTCTTCCCCCTTTGCTTCCTGTCATTCATGCTCACGTCGCCACAGACAATGAAATGTCAATGGAGAAAGACGCCAGCGGCCCGTGTTCTCTGGTTCCCAGACCTCCCCGGGGGGGAACCCACGCGGGAACCTGCAGCTGTGTGGGCTGGGGCTCAGTGAGGAGGGAGCGCTCATCTGGGAGGCAGAGGAGGAGCCGAGAAGTGGGAGTTGAGGTGAAGGGAGATGTAGGTGAGGCCCAGAGTGGGGTGCCCTGCGGGCCTGCCTGCCCCTTTCGCGGGGCCGTCATGGGCGCAGTGAATGCCATGGGCTGGGGGTTGATTCTCTCTCGTCTGCTACCTGCGCCAACAGCCCCTCCTGGAGGCAGAAGCCTTTCATCCGCTGGTAAAGAGCGAAGGGCTCACAATGCAAACATTCAGGGTAGCCTGGCCTACGCTTGTCACCCTCAGAAGAGACTCCTTCTCCTTGCGAGTGGAGAACCCGTTACAATGTGGGCGTGAGTGGGCAGTCAGGCAGGGCCGGGACCAGCCTCAGAAAGGGAGGGGGGGCAGAGGGAGGCCTGAGGGCCAGGGGCTGGGACAGAGCTCAGAACACGGCCATCTGCTCGCAGCCGCTGTTCCCACAGGAAGGAGTGAGCGTGGGGGTAACGGGGCGCACTCATTTGCACAGCGGTGGTGACTGGTGGGACCACCAGAAGCTCAAGCCCAGCCCAGGCCGGACTGGCTCGGCAGATAGAGCATCAGCCTTCGAACCGCAGGGTCCCAGGTTCGATTCCCGTCAAGGCACATAGCTTGGTTGCAGGCTCCTCCCCACCCGGGCCCTGGTCAGGGAGTGTGCAGGAGGCAACCCATCGATGTGTTTCTCTCACATCGATGTTCCTTGCTGTCTTTCCCTCTCTCTTCCACTTTCTCTAAAATCAATGGGAAAACATCCTTGGGTGAGGATTAAAAAAAAGCAGCAGCAGCAACTCAAGCCCAGGTGTCTGCCTCTAAATCACTCACCTGCTGCCTGCTGCTCTCCATCTTCCTCAGCATTATCATCATTGGGCAGACCTGGCCGCCAGCAGCGTCCCCCAGCTTCAAGTTCAAGGGGCCCTGGAATTACATGCTCGACTCTTACTCAAGAAGGAAGATGCCATTTTTATTTTCTTATCCAGTTTCAACAACACAGAAAAGCCACGTCACGTTGACTGGAGGGGAGACTACCAGCCACGCGTGTACGAGACTTTAAATCCACACGAATGATCCCAGGACGGGTCACTCATGTCTCAAAACTGTGTGTTCATGTTTAAGGTCAGATTTTTATGGGGAAATGACTTAAGGTGACTCCTTTTCATCACTCTACCAGTGAGAGAAGTCTCTGGCCTGTGCTCACAGTCACTTCCCTTCCGATGATGGAGACGTGACATTAACGATGAGGGCACTGTTGCCATGCGCGCCACGGCCTGACCCTGACGCAGCTGCTCCGGCCCAGGACGCGAGGGGGCGGTCACCGGGCCCGCCGTGTCTCCTCGGGCAGGTCGCACAGCTTGACCTCGATGTGGCCGTGGCTGAACGCCTCCCCCTTGGTCTCCTCCACGGCGTCCTCCCTCCGGCCCAGCGCGGCTCGCTTCTGCGTCATGGCCGTCCCTGAGGGTCCACGCCGCCGCCATGCGGGGGACAGGGTTTCCCTCACCACACAGCAGCACATGGTGGCCAGGAAGTTCTTTTTGAAGTTCTCGTTCATAAAGGCGTAAATGATGGGGTTGCAGATGGTGTTGGCGAATCCCAGGAATTGCACGACGGCAAAAGTCATCTTGATGGTGACCTCGTCGTGCTCCTCCTCGAAGCTGCCTGGAACAGAGGCACATTGAGAACGCGCATTTGTCTTAATGACCTGAAAACAAAACCTCTGCGTCTCATCCGTCTTTGTGTTCATGTTTAAGGTCAGATTTTTATGGGGAAATGACTTAAGACAGCAAGGAACCTCGGTTCGCACTTGGGCGAGTGGTTGAAGGTGTGGAAACTGCTCCAGGTCGCTCTGGGGGGAGCAGGGGTGTCTGCAGAACGCAGCCCCGTGAGGGGCCTTCATTCCCAGAGCAGCCAGGCTGACCACCACACCCGGCCCAGCAGACGTGGGGCTCACGCATCCAACCGGACTGCAAGCTGCAGTTACCCTGGGAGCCGTGGTTGCTCCGCAACCATTCCCTGTTACAGAAACGCAGTCATCAGAGAACCGCGCCACGTCGGAGGTCATGGGGAGACTTCCGGAGGGCAGGAATGCACGGGTTACTGAGTTCATGGGGCTCGGGGCAGGGCTCTCGCTGGAGACAGAGGCTGCCTCCTTTCCCGACATCTGTGTGACTCGGGAGTGCAGAAGGCACAGCATGGAGGGAGGGTGTCAGAGCGTTCCTGGCCCGTCTGTAATTATTAAAGACGTGGTTGCACTCAGACAGAATTCTCTGCCATGGAATGGTCTAGTCCAGTGGTCGGCAAACTCATTAGTCAACAGAGCCAAATATCAATAGTACAATGATTGAAACTTCTTTTGAGAGCCAAATTTTTTAAACTTAAACTATATAGGTAGGTACATTGTTATTAACTTAATTAGGGTGCTCCTTAGCTGGCCTTTGCTAAAAACGTCCTCAATCTGAGGGGTCGACCTCAGCAAATGTACCCCCACTTCTTCTAACGCCACTCCTTCAAAATAGACTTGCACAGGCCGAAAACCGACTTCTGCGCATGGGCCACGAAGTTTCAATCGCACTGTACGTGCGCGCCCGCACGTGGTATTTTGTGGAAGAGCCACACTCAAGGGGCCAAGGAGCCTCATGTGGCTTGCGAGCCGCGGTTTGCCGACCACGGGTCTACTCGCCTTGCAAACACGAAAGAAACCTATTCAACATTCGGTACTTGATTGGCCCCGCGCATAGTGACACATTTCCCAGGTGCATTGTGCATTCCGGCGGGAGACGCAGCAGGGCCCCTCAGGGGAGGACCACACTCACTGTATTCCACCAGCATGTGCACGACGTGGAAAGGAGCCCAGCACGCCACGAAGAGGGCCACCACGGTCACCATCATGGCCACAGCCCGCTTCTTCTTCCTGGGCCCACGGGGACACAGTGTCGGTTAACCTCTCCCTGGGAAGCGTGTCGGATCGATGGCAGAGCTCTGAGCCCAGACCGCTAACCATCATTCCACCGACGTTAACAGAGTTAACGATCAGTGTAATATGGGCTGTTCATCACCTTCCCGTCGCCATCACCCTCACCCCCACATCTCTCACATTATAAACACCCTCGGACGTGTGCGCAGAGGGGGCTGGCCTCCCGCGGGCTGCTGGGCACGGGTGATGTCATCAGTCTTCCCAGCAAGCCTTTGACGGATGCAGAAACGGGGCCCCTCGAAGGTCAAGTAACCTGCAAGGTCAGACTGGCCAGTAAGGGATTTAAAGGAAGAAGGGCTCCTTGGGTTTAAGTTTAGGCAGTCTGACTTCCGTGCCTAAGCTCTTATCCTTTTACATTGAAGGCCACTCGCCCCTGTGGTAGGAAAATATCAATATTTATGAAATATGGGCAGCCCTAAGGATATAATTAAAATGTAAACCTTTATTATATCTCTAAGTGACATCATTAACCAGGATTTCAAACTAGTTTTCTCCATGACTCCTGTAAAGGAGACAAGCAGGTGCAAGCAATCGGCTCATTCGCCTGGTGCTTTAAATCTATACAAGTTTGTAGTCATTGTTTCTCATTTCAACGTGGCAAGTTCCAAGCTGCTGAGCATCTCCTGCACTGAGGGAGGATGGCTTCCTGCAAACTGGGCACCAGGGGGCGCTGCGCACGTGAAGAAATGCAAAAGTCTCCTCAAACCACTGGACTTCTTACCAGGTTTTGTTTATTTTTGTTTTTAATGGCCATTCCGTGTCGATTGTAAAATGAACCATAAGTTGCATTTTAAATTTTCCGCTAATGAATGCAATAAAAAAGCAATGCCCTTTGGTAAAGATAAAAGACATCAATAAAAATTAAAGAAAATAGCACGTTCTGGCTTCTCAAGGATTTTCCTCCCGTGCCTGGGCGGGAGGGAGGGGGGACGGACTCCGTGCTCCCTGGGACCCGTGAGGAAGGCGGGGGGGGGGAGGGGGGGGAGGAAGGAGACTTCCGGGCTGTGAGTGGCAGGCAGGGGAGTCCACAGCTCTCCCACCTCGTCCTGCTGACATATCGACGGAACAGACACTGTCTAAACCCCGAGGAAGCTTCCACCTGCGAGGGTGGATGTGGGGGCTGGTGAGCTTGCTCTTCCTTCCTGCCACACATGGACTCTCAAATGTGTACAGAGAGCTCATCCCTACACGCGAAGGACAAATGGCTCTAACAAACACACCCCAGAATTCTGAGGTCCCCGGTAACCGCCCCATCCAGCACAACTAATTAAAAACATTTGAGCCCAGCTGATGTGGCTCAGTGGTTGAACGTCCACCTATGAACCAGGAGGTCACGGTTCGATTCCCGGTCAGGGCACATGCCCGGGTTGCGGGCTCGATTCCCAGTGCAGGCCATGCAGGAGGCAGCCAACAAATAACATATATATATATATATATATATATATATATATATATATATATATATCTTTAAATATATATATTTGAACCTGAGGAGAACTAAACCGACCTGACGATTTTTGACATCTCGTTTCCATGGATGGTTCGAAGCACCGAGCTGTCCCCCACTCTCTTGTGGATCCAGAGTTCGTAACCGATCTTACTGTACAGGCTGAGCATCACCAGCAGCGGCAGGAGGAAGAGGATGACGAGGATGAAGGTGGTGTAGACCTTCTGGTGCACGGGGCTGGTCCACTCCTCCAAGCAGCAGATGTGCTGCTTTTCGTAGAGGAAGTCGTACTTAACCTTTGGGATGAGAATGGCTGGGTGAGGAGAGCCAGCAGCCAGGGACCACGGGGATGCAGACCCTCATGTGGTTACCATGGGGACATGCCTCGAACGACATACAATTTGATTGTCCTTTCGTTCTGAACTGTGGGTTGTTTTTTTTCCCCACGTCGCTGCTTAAATTCTTCGGCGTTTTAATACTTTCTTTTCTATTTTAAGTGGAATTGGGGTCCAAAGCCTGTTCGCTTTCTATCTCTCTCCACTCTTTTTTTTATTTTTATTTTCATTTTTTTCTCTCTCCACTCTTTACACTCTGGTCATAAGTTTTCAATGGGGTACAAGAACACTTCAATGGCCAACATATGAATGAAAATACCAGTTACAATGTCACCCCAATAAATTTAATAAAACAAGAGATTCTGAGGTGAATGAGAAAGTGGGATCCAAACTGTTGCTGATCTAAAAATATTCGGACTCAGTGATAAGCCTTTGAGGGGTGTATTTTATAGAAAGTCAATGTCTGTTTATTAATACCATTTCTGACAGACTCATCTCATCGGTTCAGATGTATTACTAGTAACAACATTAAGAAAAAGAGCAATGCTAATAAGAGACAAAGTAAACATTTAGCATGTATTCAAAAGCCATTTCTCTGGACAATAGGAATAAACGTTAGGAATTTATCAAAGCGACTGCCATTTTACCCACTCTGGCACTTTCCGGATGGAACATACTTAGGTCTTCGACGACCTTCTGCCTCCATCCCCAGCAAATTTTATCTCCACTCTTCAATACCATTTGAAAGGGGGGGGGGGGGGAGGGAGTTGTATACTCGCCAAAGATAAACTTCACACTCTGATCTAAGCGTTATTTACAGACACAACTAACTGGGAATGAAAACGCTCAGTGAAGAGTAAGTTAAAGATCCAGACTCCCCGGGAACAGGACATCAAAATGAAATCCACCTGACTCCATGCAGATGGCGCCAGCAGGGCCAACCACGGGGACTGCTCGCTGGCTGATCCTAGTGCAGCACAGGTGACCAGCCCACAGGAACAGGTGTGCGCTGGCGGAATGACTGGTTGCTATGATGAGCACTGACCACCAGCTGACAGACGTTCAACACAGGAGCTGCCCCCTGGTGGTCCGTGCACTCCCACAGGGGGAGCACCGCTCAGCCAGAAGCCGGGCTCACAGCTGGCGAGTGCACCTCCAGGGCAGCACTGAGGATGTCTGACTGACGGCTTAGGCCCACTCCCCACCTAAGCCGGCAGTCGGACATCCCCCGAGGGCTCCTGGACTGCGAGAGGGTGCAGGTTGGGCTGAAGGACCCCCCACCCGAGTGCACAGATCTCATGCACCGGGCCTCTCGTTGTCCTATATGTCAGCCCTGGGAGGGAGCCTGCAAGAAGAAAGCAAAGGGGTCAGTGGTGCTTTACGGCACCAGGTGGCAGTGCCAGCCTCAGTCAGGCTCGCACACACTGGCTCTGATAGAATGTAGGCGCGAGAAGGAGGCCGTGGGATGCATATAAATACGTTTATTTGCTTTGAAGAATGAACTCATACTTTCTCCTGACAGAAAGCAAATCTGATTTGGCTGCTCTACCCGGCAGCAAGGACTGGCTTTGTCACTTGAATTATGTGTATTTTCTATAAACTAAATCAGTTCCGTAGATTTAAAATCTATTTGGAGCATGTGCTACAATAATTATTTTTATTTTTGTTAATCCTCACCCAAGGGCATTTTCCCATTGATGTTTAGGGAGAGTGGAAGAGGGAAGGGAAGACAGAGAGAAACATCCATGTGAGAGAAACACATTGTTAGTCTCCTGCACGCACCCCGACCAGGAGCCTGCAACCAAGTACATGCCCTTGACCAGAATCGAACCCGGGACCCCAGATCCCCCCAGAATCGGTCTGCAGGCCGATGTTCTATCCACCGAGCTGAACTAGCTAGTGCTAAAATAATTGTATTCTAAAAGCAGACAAATCTCTTAGAGTTCTGTGGGCAGGAAATGGACCCCACGGTGGGAAGGTGGGAATGGGTTGGGCCGTTTCTGAATGGGGCCCCTCCTGCGGGTTTCTTGCCGGAGAACAGGCCTCGGAGAGGGTGCGGGTCACAGAGTGCCGGAGCCCATGCTCCTGGAGCAGCCACCGGAGCAGGAGCAGCAGCCGGAACATGGGCAGTTTTCTCTTGGAGACATCCGTGAAGTAAAGGCTCGGTCACAGGCCACAGTCACACTCAGGGGCACCTGCCCTCCTGTCCCCACTCTGCTCAGCGGCCCCAGGAGAGAGGGACAAGCGAGGAGGCGGAGAAGAAGGGGATGGGCACCCCCCCCCTCCAGCGGGCCGGATGCTAGACCCACAGCAGCTCCCACTGGGGAGGGAGATGTTGCTGACCCACGAGGATTCGGGCTGATGGGGTCGTGACACCGGGCTGAACATGTTAGCGACAAACTAGCACTGTCCTGGTGGTGAGGTGACCGGAGGAACGGTCTTGTCTGAATGACCGGAGGAGCACCAGGCCCAGGCCAGGCTTCATCCTGCGTCCCACCAGGTAGCAGGGAATGGAAGGAGCCGGCCTCCTGCCCGCGTGTTGGAGCCTCGCTCACTCAGCATCCACTTAGGTCGAAAATCAAGCCGCATGCTCCCGGACAGAGACGTGCAGAAAAGCAAAACGGAGCCATTCTCTCACATCATCTACAAAATAAACTCCCAACAGGCTACAGGTTCTGTGCAAGGCCTAAGGGCTGAAAGCATAAATCTCCGAGAAGAAAGCAGAGCAAGTAACTATCTGAGGTCCGTCTGAGTGATATCTTTTTGGACACATCCCCTCAAGCAAGAGAACAGAATAGAAACCATCAAATGGAACTGCATCAGACTGAAAAGCTTTTGCTCAGCGAAGGAAACCGCCAACGAAGTGAAAAGGCCGCCGGCGGACTGGGAGGGCTTGTTCACGAATGGTCTGTCCAATAAGGGGTTGGTCTACAAAACAGAGAGTAAGCTCACACAACTCAATCACAAAACAATAACAATCCGATCGAGAAATGGGCAGAGGACGTGAAAAGGCATTTCTCCAAAGAGGACATACAGGTGCCAGCAGACCTCGGGAAAGAGGCTCAACGGCACTAATCAGCAGGGAAAGGCAAGTCAAACCCACAGTGAGATGCCACCTCACACCTGGCAGAGGGGCTACCCTCAGGAAGTCCACAGACACACGTGCTGGGGAGGATGTGGAGCGAAGGGAGCCCTCGTGCACTGCTGGGGGGAGTGCTGACGGGTGCAGCCACCGTGGGAAGCAGGATGGCGATTCCTCAAGCTACTAAAATAGAATTACCCTATGACCGAGCAATTGCATTTTTGACAAACACACACACACACACACACACACACACACACACACAACGAGAATGCTGATTTATCTGCAGCCCGACATTCACTACGGCATTCTCTACAACAGCCAAGGTAGGGAAGCAGCATAGGTGTCCATCGATAGATGAGTAGATAAAAAAGTTGAGGTGGCCTGGCCAGCGTGGCTCAGTGGTTGAGCATCGACCTACGAGCCAGGAGGTCACAGTTCGATTCCCAGTCAGGGCACATGCCCCGGTTGCGGGCTCCATCTGCAGTAGGGAGCATGCAGTAGGCAGCCGATCAATGATTCTCTCTCATCATTGAGGTTTCTATCTCTCTCTCCCTCTCCCTTCCTCTGTGAAATCAATAAAGATATATTTTTTTAAAAGAAGATGAGGTATATGTGTACAATGGAGTACTACTCAGCCATAAAAAAGAATGAAATCTTGCCATCTGTGACAACATGGATGGATATAGAGGATATTATGCTAAGGGAAATAATACTAGGCAAAGACAAATACCATGTGATTTCGCGAATATGTGGGATCTAAAAACAAAACAAAACATAACCAGACTCATAGAAACAGAGACCACAGGGTGGTTACCAGAAGGGAGGGGAGAGTGGGGTGAGCAGGGGAAGGGGAACAGAGTCAACAATATTGTGATGAGTGCACAGGATGAAGATGACCCTAGAGTCAGGGGGTGATCACGTTATAGGGTCTAAAAACCCCTATATTGTACACCTGAGACTAATATACCCAATATAAGATTGCATATCAACTTGATTAAAATTTAAAAAATAAAAATAAATAAATAACGCCAGGTTTTAAGTGGACCCTTGTCTGAGGCACATCTGACACCCTTGCTGGTGGACCTCGCATGCTGTGGTGATTTCAAAAGCACAGAAGGACGCACAGTTTAAACGTTGTCTTGGGGAGTCCTGGGCGACCCCCACCTGGGTTTGACTGTGCTGGACACGCCCCCAGTGGGCGGGGACACTGGAAACCAGCAGGGCCCCGCCCCCTCTGTGACTCCCCAGGCAAGGCGGGGCCCAGCTGACCAAGAGGCTGGATAAGACAATCCCCCCACCTTTCCAATTCAAACTGCAATTTGTCACTGTGTAGAAGACAGGTGAGAAAGGACTTAGGACAGAGAATCAACTAATAAGAAGATAATCGATCACAATTTTTTTATGTGACTTTAAAATAAAAATATTTGGAGTGACCCCCGGACGCTCACGACCTGACTGGCCACGCAGGACCCTCGGCGAGCCGCGTCCAGCTGCAGGAAGATGCAGACACTGACCCTGGCCAGTCTGACCCACGGAAGGTCAAGGAAGAGCGAGGTAAAACAGCGGGGAAATCTGAACACGTGTTATTTGAGTCCCGTTGGAAAACTGCCAGTGAAATCATTGCGATCACGCAGATTCGCTGAAATCTCTTGCAGGAAGGAGAAGGATTTCAATCAAGAGGGCGGGACATTCATAGTGTCAATATCAGCCCCAGCCCCGAACCCACCTCGAGCCGCTGCACGTGCCACATGGGGGCTCCGACGATGACCGCCACCAGCCAGACCACACCTGTAACAGGGCACAGTCATCAGAATACGACTCAGTCGAGCAAAACACGCGTGCTCAGTCCTCTAAGCATACAGACTCCAAGGCCCCGTGCACCCCGTCACCTCCCCAGGAGCCGGGAATGGTCTCCTCGCGTGTTCTCACCTCCACCCTCTCAGCCCCTCAAAAGTGCTGCTGGAAGAGTCTCCCTAAAACACATTTCCAATGTTTGAACGTCAGTAACAGT